GCAGCAGCAGCAGCACCAGCAGCAGCAGCAGCAGCAGCAGCAGCAGCAGCAGCAGCAGCAGCAGCAGCAGATGCATGCACGCTTTATCCTTGTTTATTAACCCCAGGAGATGATTATATACAACAAATGCAATCCCTAGAGAAACAAATTATTTTACTTTCAGCTGAAAAAGAAAAATTAAAAACAGAAACAGCAAAATATACTGCTATTGGTGGTAGGGTTTAGGGTTTAGGGTTTAGGGTTTAGGGTTTAGGGTTTAGGGTTTGAGGGTTAGTTTATTTTTTTTTTATTTATTTTTTTTCGTTTTGTTGTTTTGTTTATGTAATTATATATTTAAATACCTTAATAATTAATTAATTATATTAATTATATTTTTATTTATTTTTTATTTTTTTTATTTTGTTTTTATCTGTTTATAGAAAAAATAAAAAAAATAAAAAGCAAAACTAACCAAACTAAACACACATAAATTTAATTTAATGTTTATTTATTTTTTATTTAATTAAATATAATATATTTTTATTTATTTTTATTTATTTTATTTATTTATTTATTTTTTTTTTATTTTTTTTATAGGACGCACAGCAAGAGAAAGACAAAAAAGGTTAGCTGCTGAAGAACGCTTAAATGTTGTCGATAAAAAAATACACCAAATCAAGTTGCTGCTGCAGCAGCAGCAGCAGCAGCAGCAGCAGAATAGATACGGTCGCTAGTTGCTGCTGCAGCAGCAGCAGCAGCAGCAACAGCAGAATAGATACTGTCGCTAGTTGCTGCTGCTGCAGCAGCAGCAGCTACTGCCGCTAGTTGCTGCAGCAGCAGCAGCAGCAGCAGCAGCAGAATAGATACTGTTGCTAGTTGCTGCTGCAGCAGCAGCAGCAGCAGCAGAATAGATACTGTCGCTAGTTGCTGCAGCAGCAGCAGCAGGATAGATACTGTCGCTAGACGTTGCTGCAGCAGCAGCAGCAGCAGCAGCAACAGNGCAGCAGCAGCAGCAGGATAGATACTGTCGCTAGACGTTGCTGCAGCAGCAGCAGCAGCAGCAGCAACAGCAACAGCAGCAGAATAGATACTGTCGCTAGCAGCTGCTGCTGCAGCAGCAAAACTGCTGTGCGGTTTCTACTTTTTTATTCATTTAAACAAACCGCAGCAGCAGCAGCAGCAGCAGCAGCAGCAACAGCAGCAACAGCAGCAGCAGAAACAGCAGCTGCTGGAAAGTTACAGCAGCACGAACAGCAGTCGCTGTAGCTGCAGCAGCAGCAGCAGCAGCAGCACAAACAGCTGTTGCTGCTGCTGCTGCTGCTGTTCCTTTTGTAATCATCATATTGCTTCCTTTACGTTTATTTTATTTATTTAATTATAAAAAAAACAAAAACAAACAAAAGAATTGTTTGTTGAGGGTTTAGGGTTTAGGGTTTAGGGTTTAGGGTTTGAGGCTTCTCTTTTTTATTTCCTTTTTGGTTCTGTTCGTTATCATGGTTTAGGGTTTAGGGTTTAGGGTTTGCTGACGAATTTTA